GACCACGTGGAATGGGCGGAAAATGGCCGCGGACCACGTGGCACTGGCGGGAAAATGGCCGCGGACCACGTGGAATGGGCGGAAAATGGCCGCAGACCACGTGTCACGGCGGAAAATGGCTGCGGATCCGGCTCGTAACCCGAGGCGGAGTTCATAACCCAAGATAAATTTTTGCGGCCGGAGCTGGGCGCAACCTGAAAACTTCGTTAGCAGAGGCATTTGTAACCCAAGGTACCACTGTATTTTGGAAGAGTATAGCAAGAATAGCTACAATGTAATCAATGGCTGGATAACAGCAATTAGCTTAAGAATATTTTTTAAAAAGGAGAGGGGGTGCAAATTTTAAGATGATTTGGGGGAGAAAGGCTGGCATAATTCATGTTTTGGAAATTGGAAATGAAGATGAATTATTTTAATTGCCAAAATGAGAACAAGCTAGAAATAGGCCATGGAACATATATGAAAAAATGTCACTTAGAGAAGGATACGATACGTGACCATTTCTATGCTTAATCTACAAGCCTCTGAGCAAAGATGGGTATGCTGAAGAATTGATTTGTATTTACTTATTTGAATTTAAAAGAAAAGATAGTTGCAACCTATGAGGAGAAATGGTTCAAACTAGTGGACTATGTTCATCTCAAAATAAAACTTTATAAAAAAAGAAAAGGAAACGTTATTTAGGGCATAAGACATCTTGCCTAGCATTGAACAAATCAGAAATCTCAAGAGAGACAAAGTCTTTCACAGAATGCTATGAGTAACAATTTTTTTAAAAAGTGTGCCTTTGGGTTAGATCGTTGTTTCTTTTTTACTCCTGGTGATTGCCTGTTCAAGTCCCTGCAGTTTTCTTGGCAAGATTTTTTGGAAGTGGTTTGCTATTGCCTCCTTCCTAGGGCTGAGAGAGAGAGTGACTGGCCCAAGGTCACTTCATGCTTAAGGCAGGACTGGAACTCACAGTCTCCTGGTTTCTAGCCTGGTGCCTTAATCATTACACCAAATTGGCTCTCTTAACAATACTGGGACCAAATACAATGTCAGGCTTGGAACACATTATTAGCCATTGGTCACAATTCTTAGGGGGAACTTAACATGGAAAATGAAATCAATGTGCCATTCAAAATAGTATATATCACTGTAAACAGTGACTTCAACTACCTTACACATACTGCATGGTTGTGCGCTAGATGATTGCATTAGAACAGAAAATGATTTTGGATTTAGATTCCCAGGACCAAATGTAGGATATATAGGAACCATGTATGAACCAAATGATAACCAGAGAGCTATAAAAAAAAATAACAGAGCATAATATTATAATACTATGTCTCTCTTTCAATTAAAAATTATATTCAATGCATGTCACTGGTAATTTAGGAATCAACTAACTACAGGCATAATGAATATGTGTGAGTGCTGTGTTATTTTCCCATATGTAATGTGTTATATCAAAACACTGCATTTTATAAAGATTAAAATATTTGTAGATAATGCATTGTGCTTCCATTCAGAATCGGAAGTGACAGAATTATCAATGGAAAAATTTAAGACTGAAATGACTGCATGGTTCTGTTATCTTAGTGAATATAGTATTATAGTGTTCCCAGCCACAGCATTTTTAGTATACTCTTTCAAGTTGAACCAGCTCTTTGCTTAGATTGTTATCAGCCTTAGAGGATGTAGTTCTCAATTAAAATTGAGAATATTCATTGCTTCAAATCCAAAGTCAAAAAGGTACTCCACAGTAGGTCAACGCCTCCTTAAAGAAGTTATGATTTTTCCTGGGCTCACCTAGTAGTCATATGATCCCAAGAAATTACACATTTGAGTTAAGGAGGTAAGAGGTACTTTTCAGCTTTGGATTCTAAGCATGATCATCCATAGTTAAAATATATGTGATTGTGTTGCATAAAGTCTTTTTCTTTGGGACCAGCAACTCCATCGCTAAGCAAAGTGGCCGTTAAGTGAAACATTATGTGACCGCATCTTGTTACCTCCTACTGGCTTCCTCATTGACTTTGCTTGTTGGAAGCCAGCTGGAAAGGTTGCAACTGGCGATCACATGACTGTGGGACACTGTGATTGCTGCAAATGTGCAAAGGTTGCCAAGTGCCCAAATCACAATCACATGACTACATGGATGCTGCAATAGTCGTTAAGTGCAAGGACAAGTCCTAAGTCACTTTTTTCAATGCCATAACTTTGAACAGTTACTAAACAAATGGTCATTAAGTGAGGACTACCTGTAGTTTGATGGGGAAACAGCAATTGTTGATATTGTGCTTCATAATTTTATATTATCAGCAATTCATCTCTGTTGTCATTCTGAGATTTACTTACCTTTCATTTTAAATATAATAAAAGAAACTGTTTCATTACTTCCCATTTATTTCATTTTTAAATCCTCCACAAGTTTCAATTTTTACTTCCCACCAGAAAATTCATTGCACTATAATCAATAGGAACCTTCTAAGCTTTTCCTATCTAATGTCTTGCAATATTAAGCAGTTCCCTCTGATCTTATCCTGCTCATGGAGTAGCATCCTTATTCTTGTGGTTTGCACTTCTACAGTCTGTAAAAGAAAGGTATGCCCCCAAATTTCTCCAACACAGAAAGGAACAACAAAAAAAAAAAAGCAGGAAGACTTACTCTTTGTTCTACTGTCCAATTCCATTTTTGTCGCCTCCTGGACTGTTGTAGCTGTGGGCATTCTTTTTCCAACTGTCTGCAAACATAAAAATAATTCAATAATGTAATTTATAAAGTACCATCACTCATTATTTGCTCATCCAAATCATAATAGTCAATGAAAACATTAAATATCTGCCACAATGCCCTTAGCTATTTTAACTAAAACTTATCTTAAACTTAACATATTTTAACCAGTTAATAACTGCTTCTTTGTGACCTTATTACATATTTATGGCAAATAAATGATCTTATTTGCAGTCATATTAAAGCTTTGTTGACACCTGCTTATTCCAATGTAACTATTAACTGTACCTTATCTTAATTAACTATATTTAAGCTCTCTGTGTTTAAATAATTATCAGTAAGACTGAAAATTGTTTAAATACAATTTAATATAATTCATATTAATATGTATTGAATACCTACATTTACTTCATAAAATTTAATATATGGTTTAAAAAACAGGGTTAAAGATGATTGACCATACTGAAGAGAAACAACTCGAGACAATGAAAACATTAAGAAAATGAAAATGAAAGCTTGACATGACAACTTTGGTTATATGTGATATATAACATGGTTTGCTGCTATCAAATTAACAGTTTTGAAGTAAATAATTTGACAGATATTACAATTTACTTTTATATCTACAGGCAAATAGATGAAGCAGGAAGCTGGGACTTTGAGCAGTTCAACTTCTTTAAAATGCACAAGATAACCAGGGAGAACGTAACTGTAGCTTCAGTGGTTTCTTCCAACAGAAGAAGAAACTCACTCTTGGAGCCTCCTCATGCACTGAACTTCATCTTCAAGCGTGATTGGGCAGGTTAAGCTGATGAATCACCTCAATATTTGGACTATTCTACATGTGCAGTAGTATCTCACTCATGGAATGGGACCAAGGCCATTTACAAACACTGATGTCATGCCCATAACTTCACAGAACACTGGTGCTCCAGAGCAGTGAACAATAAATAAGCATGGGAGAATTCATGGGAGGATTCCTCTACAATCTTTCTATGTTTCATAAAGCAACAAAAGAATAACACGCAACATCTTTCTTTGTTCCCCAAGTTTTTTAGACTAGCTTTTAAAAGACCAAAGGGAAATGTGAGTGCATGGAGCGTCAGTTATATCCCAGTACATTCTTTGATACTACATGGAATCTTTGAAACATTCGGTTTAGCTTCAGACTTCATACACATACATGTGTGAGTGCATATGTGTATTATTTATTCCCTTCCCCCGCCCAAGAAAATGTTAAACAAAAGAGCAGATTTGCCATCAGATATGCCCACTTGCATGATAAAACTTCACTATGGAAGAAAAAAAAAAAAGCATAATTAACAGTCAAATTCATTAGCAGAGTATGTGATAAATACTAAAAAAAAAACTAGCCATATTTCTTTTTGTCCTCTCACCTAAAATATTTTTAAGAAGAAAAATTACAGCTATTGCTTGCAAACACCTACTTTCCCTTTGCTACCTGGATAAAAATATCCAAATGTTATGGGAGTTATTTCAAAACAGACCTTCAAATTATATGTTGTGAAGCATAACACTGAGTATTGCTTTATGTAAAAAAGGAATTTGGGAAACTATGCCTATGATAATTATTGAAAAGTATGAATTCTGTAATCTAGTTTTAAAGTTAAATGTCTATCGCAACTCTGGGGAAAAATGACTTTGTGACTTGATAAAAATATTCATACTTTTACTTCAAGATAGAATAAAATATAAGAGCTTCCTTTTATAAAATGTATAACACTGAATTTGCAACGGGCAAGTAAAATATTTGCTCTTTGTACATATTTTGTTCATGTAGCTAAAGATACAAGAGATTATTATAAATTTTATATATGAAATAAGATCATCTATTGTCCTTGTTGGATTCTCTGTAATAGATTACTGTTGTTAAATGTGTAGTAATTATACTTTTTTTTGTTTTATTTACTAAATATTTTTATTACTACTTCAGCACACAGGCCAGTACATACAAAAAAAAAAAAAAATGAGGGCAGTGTGGTGCTATGTGAATATTAGGGTTCAGATGGAAAATTGTTCACAGAGCTGGAAAGTTCATGAAAAATTCTGTTTTTTTGTTTGGGAAATATTTATGTAGTATTCAAGTAGTTTTCCATGGTTCCAACTGGTATTTTCTTCATACCTTATTCTCTTCTTACAAGGAGAACATATTATTCCCAAATGACAGCTTAAAGTTGAGGTAACTGAACCAAGAAGAATTTAAGATATTTATTCATACTCATCCACTTAAGCATCTCCACACTTTGACTTAGGTTTGATTTCCCTCCATAGAAGTTAGATAATGTTCCTTTAATAAAAATATGCCCTTTTAAATCCCAATGATAACTACTGCTTTACTTTTGACTTACACAAAGTTGTTGTAAATAAATATTATACATATATATTCAGACATAAAGTCACTGAATTGCACAGCATTCAGTAGGGCTTGTTCCCAAGGAAAGTATGTACAGAATTGCAGCTGTGAGGAGTGAATAAGAACTGTTTTCTAAAATATATAGTATCAAATGGAGTTGTGCAATGAGGGCCAATGAACATGGCAAACAATTGACAAACTACCAAACTCAAGGGAAGCTTTTTTTGTTTTTTATCCGCACTCAGTCGTTACCAACTCTGCAGTGACTGCTTTGGATGAGTCCTTGCAGTTTTCAAGGCAAGGTGTTTCAGAAGTGTTTTGACAGAGCCTCCTTCCTAGAGCAGAGCCCAGCTGGAGAGCGCAGGAGGCGGGGTTTCCGTTGCTTCGCACCTTTTTCAGGCGAGCGCGGCTTCCGCGCTACCGGCAACTGCTCCTGACTCCTTTTGCAAGGTGCTGCCAGCATTTTTCCTCCCACCGGAATGAGAGTACCCATTTATCTACTCATGTAAGTTTTCAAACTGTTGGGTTGACAGGAACTCGGGAGGAAGCAGGAGCTCACTCTGCTGCACGAAGCTGGGCTTGAACCGCTGAAGTGTCGACCATTTCTGGCCGGCAACTTTCAGTGTCATTAAGCCGCTGCGCCACCGTGTCCCCTTAAGGGAAGCTTTACTAACTTTTAATAATTATTTGGTCACAAACGTTTAATAGGTTGAGTTTGACCCAAAGGAAAGTTTACCTTTACTAAATCTATACAAATAATTCTCTTCCAGACAACAATCCCTATGGTCACAGTTATAATGGCAACGGGGACACAGCATATGGAGTTACTATACAGGTTAATTCTCAAGGGTCTGTTTATTAATGCCTTAGTTGAATTCTACTGTCAGTCGCTGTAATGACTACTGCTCATTAAACATTGAAAAATGGCCTCAGAGGTTTTAAAAGACAAAGACAAGTCTTTGCTAACACATTTCACAATCAAATATTGCAAACAGATTGGTGCATATATAATCTTACAGTCTTCAGTAATTAATCATGACAGTTTTAGATACAGATTTCAAAATATTAAGTGGGTGGAGAGATGGAAAAAAATATACAGTTGGAGAAACTAACCAGTTTTTCTGGCCCCCTCTACTAAGAAAGGCAAGATTGAAGAAATGTTTATGTTTTCCTAGCTTGTCATTTATGAGTCTGTACAAATACAACTTTAATTTATATCATATAACAGCAACATTTTGTCTAAAAATATGATTATTACACAGCTTAATCATCTAATATTAGGAAAAATAATGATCCTGTTTGTTTTTTTGAACAAGAAATAGTTACTGCTTTTCGTAATTCTATCTAGAAGACTATATTGAAATTATTGTAGTTAAATTAATAATGGAATACAGAAGAGTGGAATGTACCAGTTTAGCCTGGACAGATTATGCCAAAATGTAATAGTTATTTAGCAAATGTATAAACTCAAGAGCTAAACTACATATTGTGTGAATTCCCCTTACAATCTATTGACCATAAGGGGCAGTGGAGTGTACATAGAGAGAAAAGGATTTCATGTGTTGCCTCTTTGTCCACCATTCTGCTTGTTCTTTGCCTATGGGACTGTTAACCTCTTCCTTCTGCCTTTTTCCTCAGGCATATCACACATACAAAACAGTTGCTCTCTAACATTCCTCTTGAAGCAATGTGGCTAGCCAGGGGCTAGGTTTTAACTATCCCCACCATTCATTCATTCATTCATTCACACATTCATTTTTTAATCCATTCAATCATGTCTGATTCTTGGAGACTGCCTGAACAAGTCCCTGCAGTTTTCTTGGCAAGGTTTTTCAGAAGTGGTTTGCCCTTGCCTCCTTCCTAGAGCTGACAGAGAGAGTGATTGCCCAAGGTCATCCAGCTGGCTTCATGCCTAAGGTGGGACTAGAACAAACAGTCTCCTGGTTTCTAGTCTGATGCCTTAACCACTACATCAAACTGGCTCTCCATAGATC